GGGCTGGAGCCAGAGCTTAGAGCAGGACTAGATGGCTCAGGTACAGCAGGTCCTGGCAGCACAGCACAGAGCTGCAGATCGTCTGAAGCCAGACACAAAATTGCATCCAGGCAAGTCACACAGATGTGGATTAAGCCAGAGCCATGTCCTGGAGCTGACAGGTATGTGAGGGTGCCTATGGCCAGCCCATGATAAGCCTTCCCTGTCCCAGGGATGGGCAGAGAGGTTCCTGCACAGTGCCTGCCACTTGCTGCTGCTCACCCTGCCCCTGCCCCCGCACCTCATCCTCCAGCTCCCCCATTCCCTGCCCCAGGCTGAGGCTGAAGGAGCACAAAGCTCCTTGTGTGTCCCTGCCTGCTGCAGGGTGAGGGCTGCTCCCCGAAGGCTCTGCCGCGGGATGCAGGCCCATCTTGTGCAGGAGGGGGACTCACCATCATAAAAGCCAGCCGCAAGGTGGTGATGGGGCTTGGATGGCATCCAGGAGAGGCTAAAGCACTGGCCACACTCAGATGCATTCCCTGCCTGGATAGAGCCCACCTGCAGCACGGCAATACACTGCACCTGGAGGCCAAAGGACCCGCATCAGTCACAGCCCCATGCTGGTGCCATCCCCGTCCCAAGAGCCGGGGACACACAGGTTTGGGAGCATAGCTCTGCTCTGCCACCCCAAACACCCAGGGCCGGCAAGCTCTGCAGGCGTCCTGACTCCCTCCCCAGCTCTCCCACCTGCACCGGCCAGGAGGCTTGCTGGGTGCCAGCCCTGATGGGGGACCGCAGTGGTGGAGGACACTGACCTTGTAGATAACGTACTTGTGGAAGGACCCATCTAGAAGAGAGCAGAGGAGGGTCAGGACAAGCACCAGCTCTCCTAGAAGCTCCCTGCGACAGGAGCTGCTCAGCAGCCCAGAGCCTGGCTCACTGCTCCCTGTGGCCCTGGTCAGGGCTCCCAGTCCCTGTCCTGCCACCATGCAGACCAGCATCCCCACCGCAGCTGACAAACAGCAGGCGAGCACACCGACCAGCAGAAAACAGAGCACACGGAACAGCAAATCCAAGAGCAGGCAGTGGCAGGACCTCCAGGAGCCAGACCTGCCTGCACTGGAGGAAGCAGCACCCCGAAAGGCGCCGCAGGCAGAGATGGGGCAGGGCTGACATTCCCCCCACCCCAGCGATCTTCACCGTACCACGACCAGCTGTCTGCCTTGACGGAAGATATCTTCACCAAACTCAAGGGGACCCAGTGACACACAGGGGGCCAGACCAGACTCGCGACTGCCCCGGGGAGGAAAGGAGCAGCCGTGCGGGACAGACTGCTCCACCAGGCAAAGGCGGCCAAGCTGGCCAGGGCAGCCAGTGACAGGGGGTGGAGCAGCCTGGGCAGCCACTCCCAAGGAGGGCAGACTCCGCAGAGATGCCTGCATCCAAAAGGTTCAAGACAAGGTGCCCGCAGGACCCCCCATGCAACAGCTTTGTCTGCTAGAGAATCTCCCCTGTCAGCAACACATGACACGAGAGCTGTGGGGCTCCCATCCTGCACCTCTCAGGCTAGAAGGGCTCCCCTCTCCCCCAGCGCAGGGCTGTCCTCAGGCACAGCGAGCACCAGACAAGCACATCTGCACCCCAGAGTGCGGCAGCCGCAGGCGGCGGCATGCAGAGAGAAAG